TACCATGGTTACCTACGCCGCCATCTTGTTGTCTTTCCTCAAGACCACGTATTTTCTAAAAAAATATTTTCTTTTATAACCTGGTGCAGTTATCAAGCTTGAAAATTTCACATCAAAACAATACTCATATCTGACTCAATGACCAGGGGAACCTTGGTACCCGAGCAGATAGCCACCATAACAGACCTGGCAGCCAGGCCAGCAGGCAATAGCTCAGAGGAGGGGGTCTAGTGGGGATGGGAAGAGCACCCCCAGCAAGCCTGGGGAAGGTCAAGGTTAAGAGAGCCTTGGGGACCACAGAGAGTGAAGTTCCTCCTGGTCCTCTTAGGTCAATGGGGGGTAGAGGAGTTAGAACTTAAAACATGTTTTTTTTGGGAGACACAATTCAACACAGACCAAGCAGTCTAAAGTCCTGGGGCCATGGGGTTTGGATATTAGCTGCATCACTGTTAAGTTAGATGATAGGCATCTGGTCTGCAGTTATAACCAGTCCATGTCAGGCAACTCCAAGCTGCCCCTTGTCCTACAGGCCCTCCATGACTGCTCCATGCACAGGATGATGCCTTCCCTTGCTCCATCCATTGTGCTTCCAGGATTATTGTCTTCCCACCAGCCTTCTTTTTCCTTGTGGACAGAACCTGGATACTGTTTGGGCATCCACTCCCCACCCTGTGTGACTCAGGGAAACCCATTTTACCTGAGTGCCACTGAAAATCTTCATTGGTGTCCCACCCCTTTGCTGGAGATTGGTTTATGTGTGGACATTTGACTCCCTTCTGGCCAGTGAGATGTGAGGGAGGTCAGGGGGGCAACTTCTGGAGGCAACTGCATTCTGTGGCTCATGACCCCTTCAACAACATGGACTTATTCCTCATGCTGTCACCTCTTGTTCTCTTTTTTCTGCATCCTGCTTCCACTTATAAAGGCCCTCATGTTACATTGAGACCATCTAGATAATCCAGGATCATCTCCCATCTCAAGGTCAGCTGATTAGCAACCTTAATTTCACCTAGAACCTTGATTCCCCTTGACATGCAACAGAACATATTCACAGGTTCTGGGGATTTGGACGTGGACACCATTGGGGGTTGTTATTCTGCTGACCACAGAAGGTTTCTTTGTTCCTAAGAGGGAGACCCCCCAAAATGGTCTCTTTCTGACTATGGCCATTGTAGCTTCATGATGAGATGGCTGGAGCAGCTGCAGCTATACTGGTGCCTATCTGAGGACGAATAAGTATAAAAGGAGGCAGAGCCAAAATAATCACAGAGCAGCAGAATGGAGTCCAGGAGCCTCTTTTCAGAGGAGATAATACATTGCTTCTTGGCTTACGCCCATCAGAGGCAGGATTTTCGGTTGCCTACTGTCAAAGACATCTATGGAGCAGAATGCCAGTTGCCTCTTAGATGCCCCAGAAATAGAACCCCAGTCTTTGTGTGTGTGTGTGTGTGTGTGTGTGTGTGTGTGTGTCTCAAAAAGACTACATTTCCTAGACTCCTTTGCAACCAAGCATGGCCCTGTGACTAAGTTCCAGCCAATGGGATGTGAGCAAGACTGGCTATGCCTTCCAAAGTAAGGAGCTCACAAGACCTGGAAACAATCCAAGTTCCTATGAACAGTGGGATGGACAAAAAAGTCGTGGTGTATCCACTCAGCATAGTGGAATGCTCCCTAGCAGTGACAATGAACATGGATGAATCTCATAGACATAGTTTTGAGCTTAAGAAGCCAGACAGAACAGAACATAAATAGCAAAAAGAATTTATTTATATAAAGTCAAAATCAGCCAAAATTAATCAATGCTATGAGAAGTCAGGACAGTGGTTATCCTTGTGGGGAGCGGGAGGGAAACAGAGGAATCTGAGGGCTCTGGGGCTCCTACATGGCTGTTGTGGAAAGTCCTACACTTAGGATACATGATATTTGACACCAAAAAGGAAAAAGCTTCCCAGGGGACAGGGCCCAACCTCTTCTCCCTTTCTGTTTCAAGCTGGGCAGGCATGGACTTTAGGTACCCAGACGTTTGTGAGGAAGAAATTCTTCTGGGTCTTTGCTGCAACCATGAAACCACCTGCCTCTGTGGGAGAAAAATAGACTCTCCTCATCAGGGTCCGAATAATCGAACTGAGTATAGTGCCCTTTTTAGAGTCGAAGTTTCTTAAATATGGATGGGAGATGTTTTGCTATTTTAGACAAGAGCAGATGGTGTGCATTTCATACCACTGTTACTAATTGGACATACCACACCAGGCCTTAACCTTCGTGAGTTGTTCTCACTCAGGGACACTGGGTGATGTCGGGGACATCTGTGGTTGTCATGCCTGGGGGTGCTCTTGGCATCTGATGGGCGGGGCCAGGGGCGCTGCTGGACCCTCCATAGTGCCCAAGATGGCTCCCCACAGAGAACCACCCAACCATCCACAATGCCTATATGGAGAAACCCTGCTATATACACTAAAGAAAATGTAGCAGATGGAAAGGCCCCACTCCGCCTCCAGGGCTCTTCTGAGAAGCAAGGCACCACCCACCCCCCTCTCAGACCCCACAGGCCTTGCTGGGCCCTTCTGTGTCTTCACCATCTGAGTGGGGGTAGGTGATGGTCCTCTGGCCCCTTTCCCAGGACCCCCATGTGGACTCACTTCTAACTCACTTCTTGCGTTTTGGGAGAACAAATTTAGCCTCAGGCTGAGAGTGGGGCAGGGAAGCTTTACACCATGGTTTTCACTCCTTGCATCTCCATAGGAACTGGACAGTGCTTGAAATTCAGCAGTGGAGGGTTTGGTACTGAGTCCTTATTTCTGCCTCCACTGGAATATCCCTTCCCCAGAAGCAGAAAGGGCACTGGATCCCTCAGCTTTTGCCACTAAAAAAACGCCCTTTGGTTAAGGGCCTTTCCCATCATTGCTGAATTTTGCAAATATTGAAATTCACAAATGCTGGGGGCCCCAGAGGAAGCCTAATGTTCCATGCTGTGCATTCTTGGGCAATGACTTGGCTTCTCTGGATGACGTGGGAACAACGGTCCTGAAATCCATCTCGGAGGACAGTCAGTGGGGAAGCTTGAAGGAAATAAAGCACCGGCAGAGGGGCCCACATGCCCTTGAGAGGGGCGACCTCTTTTGGCAGCTCTGTGGTACTGCTGCTCCTCTCTGGTGCCAATGGAAGATAAAATCATTCAAGGCGGTTATTGAAACTCTGCACGGGGCGGTCCTGTTCTGGGTGTGGGGAGTCCAGGCAGGGGAAAGACAGGCACGGTTCCGCCCAACTGAAGCCCACATACTCTAATGGGGTAAAAAGACAGTTACAAATGTAAGATTGAGTAAGATCATGATAAATGCTGTGAAACACCACCAAAAAGTCCCCATAGATTTAGGTAGGAAAACAACATACTTTAGGGAAGGCTTTTGGAGGAGGTGATATTTAAGATGAATCTTGGAGGACTCAACCACATGAAAATCAAGGGACGGGCTCACTGCAAGGTGATGAGAGATGAGACTGGTGAGGATGTGGGGTTTGAACAGGCCAACAGGAGAGGGGGCCAGTGTAGCAGATGGCAGGTGGTCTCTCTCCAGAGGCAGGGACCTGTCAGAGACCCTGCAGGGCTACCAGGCTGCTTTGACAAACTCACTCACGACAGGGTTGCTGCATATCAGACAGTCCCAAATTAGTGGCTTAAAAATCATGAAGATGCTCTCCTTCCCACGATCCTGAATCCTGGGCTGGGCTCAGCAGGCCAGCTCTAGTTCCATGTAGTGTCTGTTGAGGCTGGGACACTGAAAGTGGCCTCTTTTCTCACTGTCTCAGAAGCCCTTCCACACAGAAGTCTCCAGGGTTGCCAAGTTCATAGACTCAGCAACACCACCAAAGACCTATCCTCAGCTCGCGATCCTCAGATTAGCAGGTCTCATGGTCACAAGAGAGCTGCCTGAGCTCTAGACATCATAGGCAGTCTCAAAAATACCCGAGAAAAAGAGACAGGTTTCTTCCTTGTGTTTCCTTTCACGTGAGATGAAGTCATCTCTAGAAGCCCCTTGCAGGTTCCCCTCAGGTTTCATTCCTAAGTCAATCCTGGGAAGGGGACAGAACCCCTGGTGAGCTATGACCACCAGCGCTGCCTTCTTCATCTGAGTGCAAATGGGATCTCTTACTAAAAAGAAATGTAGGCCCTGGCCAGTGTGGCTCAGTTGGCTGAGCGTCATCCCATGCACCAAAGGATTGATTCGATTCCCTGTCAGGGCGCATTCCCCGGGGGGTTATGGGCCCCCTAGTAGGGGGCTTGCAGGAGGTAGCCGATTAATGTTTCTCCCTCTCTCCTTTCCTCTTTCTTCCTCTCTCTCTTTCATCAATAAAACCATATTTTTAAAAAAAGAAAAAGAAATGTAGGATGGAGTCGGGTCTGCTCTAGCACAGAGCCATGCTCCCAATCTAACCATTCATTCAACAGCTCTTCCTGAGAGCCATCTGTGGGCAGTGCCATTCTAGGTGCCAGGATGTGCAGAATGGGACACTCTCAAGACCTGGTCTGGAGAGGTGACTTCTACAAAGCAGAGTAGAAAACAAATAAGTCAACAATGTCATTTTAGGTGATACCAAATACTGCAGAGAAATCAAACAAAATGTTAGGATGCAGAGAGACCCAGGATTGGGGCTGCCTTTCTGGGTAAGAGCTGACCCGGGACATGTGTGGCAGAGGATTGCAGGCAGAGAGACCAGCAAGTGCAAAGGCCCTGAGGAGGGGTACACACCTGGCATGCATGTTCATGGAGCAGGAAGGCAGAGTGACAGGAGAGGAAAAATGAGGGGCTGAGGTTGGAGGGAGTGAGTGGGCCCCACACAGGAGGGGCCGCGGGAGGAGCTTCAGCAGTACTCAGTGATGAGCACCTGTAGAGTGGAATGTGGATGCCGAGAATGTGGGCAGGCCATTCTCCTGTCGCCTGGTGACCACAGACACATTGGGTGCGTTGGGAGCAAGGTTGAAGGGCTGGGGGAGGGCCCTGTTCATGGGGGACCATCGGCATAGTTTGCTCAGCAACCACCAAACCTCGGAGGCTGAGGACAGGTCAGAAAAGGGGCACTACAATGACGCTCCGGGCCCTCAGAGTACTGTGTATGAGAGCCTGGGCTCCAAGGACCTCAAATACCAAGAGCTAGATGATGGGAAACTGGGCTTCGAAGACCAAGAAGAAGAAATTCCCCCTGAGGAGGTGGCCGAGGAAGAATTTCTGGATGCTCAGGACCCAGGAGAAGCCCTCCAAGAGCTGGAGAGGGCTCTGGAGAAAGATGACGAGGAGGGCGTGCCTGAGATGAGGTGGGCATGGTGGAGGGGCCTGCACTGGCTGGGGGGTCTCAGGCCCAGGGGAGAGAGCAGTATCCCCATGTCCACCCTGTGCTCCTGTGGCCTCTGTGTCATTGCTGCCAGTGTGGGTCGCCCTGGGGTCCATGCAGTCATCCTAGGGTGAGGGTATCAGACAGGGTGGACAGTACCCTAAATGGCCTCTGAGGTGAAGTGGGCAAACACAACCTCTGTCCAGGTAGCAGGTGGGATATAGTGGAAAACCCTACAAAAGTGCCAATTTTGGAGTCAGAGTTTAGATGCCAGAGCTGAGAGGTGAAGAGAGGTGGCCCTCACTTAGAGAAAAAAAGAAATGGGGAAAATCTCCCAGCTCAGAAGCTGCAACCATTCCAACCACTACAAATTGCCAGAAATGTTGAAGATGGCTGGGAGCACATGTTCTGGCTGGACTGAGAATTAGTGAATGAAGCATTTATGGGACTGATTTTTGGCAATTGGTGGTATCCTGCAATGAGCCAGGTGCCCTCTCACCTGTGGATTTAGTGTGTGCATCCCTCCCTCCTCCTACTGGGCCACGTTCTTGGCTCTTCTGGACTGTGGTTGTCTAGGCAGGAAGGAGCCCAGTGGGTGAGCAGGAGCTGGCCCCTGTCCTCCCCGTCGGCTACCCTCTTCGTGGGCTATATCTCTCACACCGCAGATGGATGTTTGCTGACACAACCTGTGATATGTTGGGTGGTGCTGTGGAGAAAGTGGTGCAGGGCAGTGACAGGGGCCCAGGGAGGACATTTGAGCCTACGGCCGCAGGAAGTGAGGAGAAGGCCCTGTTCCTCCCATAGTTGTGAGGGCTGCCTGGGGCCTCTCTGTAGTTCAGTCTCCCTCAGGAGCCTGGATACACATGAGATAAGAGAACGTCTCATGTAATAACTGCGACCATCTGTGAAATAGAGACAGGGGCAGGTCCCTATTTCATTTCACAGAGGAGGGAACGGGGCCACCTGGCCAGGGTCACACATCTGGCTGCTGGTGGAATGATGATTGCAGACCAGGTCTTTTGGTGCCAGATTCCCACCAGAGAGAGGCCCCTTCAAGGCGCAAGGAGACTCAGGGTGGCTGGAAAACTAGCAACTCGAGCCTCACCATCCACATCTCCCAAAGCCGGCTGTCCATCACCCAGAGGTTCCCCAGCACCTCGGTGGTAAAAGGGAAGAAGAAGAGGAGGAGACTTTTTGAGCTGGCGAAACCCAAGACCAACTGGCAAGTCTTGAAAGACAAGTGAGCAGCTTGGGAGGTCTTGCTGGAGGCAGGGCTGGGGGTCTTCAAGAAGAACAGCCCCTGGGGTCCCATCTGTCACCCACAAAGTAAACTTGGGGTGAAAAGTCAGGGTGCCAACAATGGGGGCTTGGGGAGCGGGGTGCTGTGGCCGGCTATGGCCTCTGGGTGCTGGCCCAGGACAGTGAGGCATTTGAGCAAGTGGGAGCTGCAGAGCAAGGCAGGGGCTGGGCTGTCTCATCGCAGGATGGGGTGCTGCTGTAAGGGCTATGCCTGGATCTCCCCATGCATGAGGAACTTGAAGTTCTGTGTCTACTGGTAAGTCCCAGGGTGTTTCCTCTCTCCATCTCCTGCCCATGTTGGGGGGAACAGCCAGGCCCCAGGGCCCTTTCCTTAGATATACCTTTTTTCCCCCAGCTCCCCACTTTTCTGAACATCAGGCTTGCTCAAAATAATCTAAATAATCTACATTTCCCCATGACTTTAAGATTTTTCTCCCCGTGTCCCTCTTGTGCCTCCACATTCTCTCCTTCCTTCCCCCTGGTCACCCCGTCTTCCTCCAGCCACCCTGCCTCTGCCTCATTGTCATCCTGTCTGCATGTGTGTCTGTGTTTATGGGGTGCCCTGAGTTTTGTTTCAGAGCAGGGCTTAGGAAGCCTCTGCCCCGGCTTCCCTCACCCTGAGCCACGACTGGGTGCATTCCAGGCCATCCGTTTACTGGACAGAGAGGTTTCTGGAAGACACCACCCTCACTGTCACGATGCCTGGTAGGTTGAAACCACCCACTGCCTCTACTTCTCCATTAGTGGCCAAATGGCTCAGGGGTTGGCCAGAATTGGCCCTTGTCCCACCCATGCTCTTGGCCACTCTGTCTGACATGCTACTCCTGGCTTCCTGGGCCTGGGTCGCCCATCCCACCCCAACCTGTACCCTGCTCAGACTGGGGAGAACTTGGGGACTACCCTAGCCCTAACCCCCCTAGGAGTCCCTTCGTCTTTTCCCCTCTTCTCCATCTCCCAGAAGTATCTGTCCCCCACAGTGTTCCTGGGGCTCATCTCTGGACTCTATACCCCAAGGAGCCAGACCTATATAGAAGCTGGCCCTGGGGATGAGGGGTGTGGGGCAAATCCTCCAGGGGAAATCCCAGTTTGCACCACAGCCAAAATGGGGGTTAGTATTAACTTCACAAAAAGGCTTTTTTCTTCCCTCTCACAATGGTTTCTACGTTTATTGAAAGCAATGGATCCCTTCAAATAAAGCATTTCAAGGAAGATCATTATTAGAGAGAAGTAAAGGGCAGGTTCTCTCTTGGAGTTTAGAATCTCCCCCATAGTGAACAGTAAGCCCCTGGAAATCCTAGGCCTGTACAAACTTCAGACCAAAGTCCACTTTCCCAAACAGGGGGGTTGTTGGAGCCACATGAGCCCTGTTGAGAAACTGATGGGCCACATGAGCCCTGTTGAGGAACTGATGGGCCTGAGCTCCTGTTCCAGCCCTGCTACTCCCATCCTCTGTGCTCGAGTAAGGCACTTCAGGCCTCTAAGCCTGTTGTCTCCAGAATGGGGACAGCAAAAGTAACTCCTCTGTAAGGTGTCTAGTGCTGAGCTGTGGGGGCCCATAATTCCTTACACCATGTCTCTTGCTGTAGCCCATAGAAAGCTGAATTCAGTAGAAGAAAACCCCAGGGGATGGGCAGGTTTCAAGTTGGGGCTGTTTCCCATTTGTATAGCAGTGTCCCGCCGAGTGGAGGAACTGGCTCGACCTAAAAAGTTCTACTCGGAGTATTACAACAGCAATAGGTAAGGGTTGGGCAGGCACTCTAAGGGCAGAGTTTGGCAGAAAACCTTTCTGTGCCCTCAATGGGATACAGCACGGGGAGGATTCAGGTCCTGGGACTAGATAACCCAAGTCCTAACTGGATGCCTGCATGCAGGCCCATGACCCTTGGGACCTCAGTTCTCCACCTGCAGAGCCGGTGGTAGTGGAGGTCACACACAAAAGGTACTTAGCACAGTGCCTGCCACAGTAAGTGCTCAGTAATGTTACTTATCACCATGATGGATTTTGTTGGCTCTGAGAAGCTAGTAATTGTAAGACATTATTATTTTATGTACAACTAATGACACAATTCTTTATTATCACTTAGAACTTTCATGCTTGTCAAAAGTGATCTTTAGAATTATTTAGACAAATCGTAATTACGTATTAATAAAAAGGAACATACAGTGGAACTAAATTAGCTGAGGTGTGTTAGAATGTTTTAACCATTTTTTTAAAAATAATTTTTTATTTTTCAACTACACTTGACACACATTATTATATTAGTTTCAGGTGAACACCCCAGTGACTGGACATTACATAACTAGGTGATCACCCCAATAAATCTTGCATCCACCTGACACCATACATAGTTATTAGAATATTATTGAGTATATTCCCTATACTGTACTTTACAGCCCCATGACTGTTTTGTAACAAACAATTTGTACTTCTTAATCCCTTCACTTTTTTCACCTATCCCTCTAACCCCCTCCCATCTGGCAACAATCAAAATGTTCTCTGATTCTATGAGTCTGTTTCTGTTCTGCTTGTTGGTTTATTTTGTTTTTTAGATTCAACTGTTGATGGATATGTATTTATTGCTATTCTTTATTCATGTTTTTTATCTTTTCTTTTCTTCTTCTTAAAGAAGACCCTTTAACATTTCATATAATACTGGTTTGGTGGTGATGAACTCCTTTAATTTTTTTCTTGTCTGGGAAGCTCTTTACCTGTCCTTCAGTTCTAAATAATAGCTTTGCTAGGTAGAGTAGTCTTGGTTGTAGTAATTCTTGCTTTTCATCACTTTGAGTATTTCTCTCCAATCCCTTCTGGCCTGGAAAGTTTCAGTTGAGAAGTCAGTTGACAGTCTTATGGGAGCTCCCTTGTAGGTAACTAATTGCTTTTCTCTTGCTGCTTTTAAGATTCTCTCTTTGTTTCCAACCTTTTGCATTTTAATTACGATGTGTCTTGGTGTGGGCCTCTTTGGGTTCATCTTGTTTGGAGTCTCTGCACCTCCTGGACTTGTATGTCTATTTTCTTCACCAGGTTAGGGAAGTTTTCTGTCATTATTTTTTCAAATAGGTTTTCAATTTCTTGTCCTCTCTCTTCCCCTTCCAGCACCCCAATGATGCAAATGTTGGTATGCTTGAAATTGTCCCAGAGGTTCCTTGCACTCTCTTCATTTTTAAAATTATTATTATTATTTTTTGCTGTTCTGATTGGGTGTTTTTGCTTCCTTATGTTCCAAATTGTTGATTTCATTCTTGGCTTCTTCTAATCTACTGTTGATTCCTTGTAAATTATTGTTCCTTTCAGTTAGTCTATACTTCATTTCTGACTGGTCCTTTTGATGCTGTTGAAGCTCTCACTGAGTTCACTGAGCATCCTTATAACCAGTGTTTTGAGCTCTTCAACTAGTAGTTTGTTTGTTTCCATTTTGTTTAGTTCTTTTACTGGAGTTTTATTCTGTTTTTTCATTTGGGACATTTTCTTTGTCTCCTCATTTTGGCAACCTTCATGTGTTTCTTTCTCTGTATTAGGCAAAGCTACTATGTCTCCTGGGCTTGGTAGAGTGGCCTAATGTAGCAAGTGTAACTATAGGATCCAATAGCACAGCCCCCCATGATCCTCCAAGCTGGGCACTTGAGGTGTGCCCCCTGTGTGGGCTGTGTGCACCCTCCTATTGTAGTTGAGGCTTGATTGCTGTTGGCACATCAATGGGAAGGATTTACTCCCAGGCTGATCAGCTTCAAGGACTGGCTGTGACCATGGACCTTTGACCACCATGGAGGATCAACTATGCAGGGGTCTACACCACAGGGCAGGACTTAATTCGGCAGGGCTGTGATGCCCGCTGAGTCTGCCTTTTGAGTGTGTCACTTGTGGAGGTGGTTGGGTGGTGATGCTTTGATGTGGTCGGAAGCTACACACTTAATATGTTGGCTCTGGGGCCTCCTGGAAAGTGTAAGCCAAGGTCAGACACCACCCATGTTCTGCCTGGGGCCACCCAGCATGAACTACAAAGTAATCTGAAGATGGCTGCTACTTGTGCTGGGCTTGGAGGTGTTCAGGCGAGGCCAAGCTATGAATCAAGCCTGGCTGCTGCTAGTGCCAGGCCCTGGGGCAACTTAGCAAAAGTGGGCTTGCTGAGGCCAAATGCTGCTTGTTTGAGAGATTTTAGGAAAATGTGAAATATGAGCCAAAACAGGCCATATTGTGAAAAAGCCACTGGAACAGCTTAGGTGGGTCTGATAGTTGGGTGGGGCAGAGTCTCAGGGAATCACCAGAGCAGGGCAACACAGTGTGAGCCAGGTTGATGGAGTCTCAGGTATGGTACCCGTCTGCAGGCTCTGTTGGGAGAGAGCTCATCAAAGGAACAATGACCTCTGCCAGCACTTCTGTCTGGGGCAAAGCAGCCTTCGCAGTTCTCGCACTGATGCTGGACAATTCAGGTCCTTCCTTTATGTCTCTGGTGCCTTTCAAGCTGCTGCCCTAGTGCTGGAGCTCAGAGTGAGTAAGCCCAAGTAAGTCTGTGTGTGAGCCTTTATTGATTTCAGAGAGAGGAAGGGAGAGGGAGAGAGAGAGATAGAAACATCAATGATGAGAGAGTCACTGATCGGCTGCCTCCTGCATACCTCCCACTGGGGATTGAGACTGCAACTCAGGCATGTGTCCTGACCGGGAATCGAACCACAATCTCCTGGACCATAAGTCGATGCTCAACTGCTGAGCAACGGGCAGCCTCTCTTTTTAAATCCTCACTTGAGGATATGTTTCCACTGATTTTAGAGAGAGAAGAAGGGAGATGGAGAGAGAGAGAAACATCGATGTGAGAAAAACATTGACTGGTTGCCTTCTTTATGCACCCTGACCAGGATTGGACCTGCATCCTTGGTATGCACCCTGACTGGGAATTGAACCCGTAACCTTTCCATGTAAGGGACGGCCATCCAAGCAACTGAGCCATACTGGTCAGGGCCGTGTGCAGGCCCTTTAAGAGGAACTGACTGTGACTCCAGCAGCCCTCTGTCTCCCTCACCCTGAATCCCTGCTGGTTTTTATAGCCAGAAGTTATGGAGACTTCTCTTCTTGGCATTGGAACCCTGGGCTGAGGGGCCTAGTGTGGAGTTGGGACCCCTTGCTCCTCAGGGAGGACTTCTGCAACCAAGATATCCCTCCTAATTTGTATCTGCCCCATTTGGGTGTGTGATCAGCCTGTTCTGTGTCTCTACCCCTTCTACCAGTCTCTTTGTGGCTCCTTTTTAAATCACCTAGTTATAGGACTTCCAGGTTTAGGTGGTTCTGTATGATGGTTGTTCTGTAGTTTAGCTGTAATTTTGATGTGACTGTGGGAGGAGGCAAGTACCACATTTACCTAGCTGCCATTTTGATGGGAGGTCTGAATTTATTTTTTGATTCAGAGATGTTGACATGTCCCACACACTGTTTTTAAGCCTGTTTTTGTGAAAATAACTTTTCATTTTAATCCTGAATCATAGTTCAATCTGAAGATAATTTAAATTGCAATCAGATTTAACATCTGTAGAAACAAGAATGCACATAGCTTGACTTAGGTTATTTCAGTGAGAACAGCTATATCCACACACCAGTGAGGATAACTGTGGAGTTCCTGACGTCTGGCTGGCAGCATTTATAAGCTTCATCCCGACCTCAGAGATGTGAAAATATAAAAAGTCTGTCTTAGATCAATGAAACATGGCTTTATTTCTGGAGCAGAGGCTTGAGACCTGATTTTAGGAGGCGTGGGCTCAGCAAACCCAGTGGACACTTTCCCAGCTTTGTGTGATAACTGCTGGACACACACTATTAACCCTCAGGTTCAAATCTGGCCCCTGGCTCTGATGATGTGGGTGTGGGTAGAAGGCCTTTGGGTAGGGGGGATGATCCCAGGACAGCGTAGCTCCAGCCTTGAGAACACATAGGGGCTCCTGTTAGAGATTCTTTTATGAATCCCTTTTCCTTCCTTATCCCAAGAAACAGAGAGGAGCTGAGAAAGAGATCACACACACATACACACAAGCTCACAGATATGTTCCCCTTTGGTTGAGCTAGTGTCTCAAATGTGGATGTCCCCTAGGATTACTCCCATCCTGCCCATTCCTCGGTCTACCTTGGACCACCAAGCATCTAGTCGCCTGAGGGAACTGGCAACCCCGAGGGTCAGAAATAACATTTGGAGCATGAACATGTCTGAGGTAGGTGACTCGCTCTCCTGAGACCCCCCCCCCC